GCCTTTGCAGCCAGATGTGAACAGTGTTCCATTTCTGGCTAATGAGATGTAAGCATCTTTGTTGGTGTATGGGGGTTCCCAAGAAAGCTATGAAATAGGACTAAACTCAGCTAAAATATCTTTTGCCTTTCACTCTTTTTCTTCCTGCTTAGAGCACTGGTACAGTGCCACCAGAGAGACAAACGCTATAAGCTAAGTATGGCAGAACTGAGTGCTGTAAAGAGCATTGGTCCCTAATGACAGTATTAGGCCATCATGTCAGATCTCTACTGCAGACTCCCAGACTTATTGTATGAGATCAATAAACCTCTCAACATTTATGTCCCCTATAAATCGTATTTTTGTTGTTTGCAGCCAAACATTTTCTTAACTAATATAATAATGTCCCCCCCCCCCCACCATGGAATCTACTGTTCTGATTCATTAATATTATGTGTCCAAAATCATGGTAGAGAAGGGACATTGAAAAGGGACATGGGGCATAAATAGTCTTGATAATTTCTTGGTAAGACTATTTATGACTATATTTAGTTAAATATAAACATTTTTGTTTTGGTAAGTCCACTAATGTCTGAATATCTGAAAGTATTGGAGGAGTTATATGGTAAGAAAGATAAGATTTATAGAAAAATCTAAGTTCAGAATTGTTAAATTATTTTTATTTGTCATATTATTTGGATGCCAGTATTACTTACCTTTAAACCTTTCTGTTTTATGTGATAGTTATTATCATATATGGTACCTTCTGCAATACCTAGCTATTTAGAAGTAATCGAAGTGACAAAATGCCATAATATATGGAGATGATGACAGGACAAGGAGAAGGAATCAAAGATACAGTACCTGGTATTATTTCCTTTTAATTTGTTTGCTATTATTATTTACATTTTACCTTAAATAGGAGACAGGTTAATTAAATATCCAATTTTCCTATCTGTAAGACAAAGAAAAAACTTATGTTTGGCTTTCTGATTTCAAGATTTTTATCTTTCTTGGGATATATATTTTATAAAATGTATAATTTGGTTATTTGTATGTTTATGAAGTTTAGGGGTGGCTAAAAGGCTCACATTCTTCTAAGAGTAAAGTCTAAATTGGAAAATAGTAAAAGTTGCATACTCACAAAATTAGGCATATTCTAAATCATAGTATAACTACAACTTTAATTATGTCTCCCGAACATTCAGTAGAAAAGGGAAAATAACATTCAGAATCCCAGTAGATTTAGGAAGAGAGTTGGGAACAGAAGACAGTCTCCCTTTAGTTATGCTGCTCTTTTAAATTGTAGTGGTTTTTTATGTGCCTTCCAGCTTCTCCCCCACTGTGCCCTTCTTCTTCCCACAGGTCCCCAATCCCCAGATTTCTGTGCATCCTCTCTCATGCAAAGAAGGCTGGAAGACAAACTTCTGAAGCTAGAGGGTGATTACTAAAGGAGTTTGGAGTGCCATGAAAAGACCTATTACTCTTAATGAGAATAGTATTTCTGTATGTTCCCACACTTGAATTTTGACCGCCTTTATTTAGATACCACCAGTTTTACATGCACTCATTTATGCGTGTTAATTCTATGCAGTTTTATTGCATGTATAGATTCATGTGACCACACCACAGTCAATGCACAGGGCAGGTTTATCACAAGGATCCCTCCTGCTACCCTTTCAAAGCGACAGCCACTTTCTTTCTTCTCCTCCCACTACCTCCCTAACCCCAGAAACCACTAATTCTGTTCATCTCTATCATTTTGTCATTTCAAAAATGTTAAATAAATGGAAGAATGCACTATTTAACCTTATGAGATTGGCTTTTTTATTCAGTATTATTCCCCTGAGATGATTCCAGTTGCGTGCATCGATAGTTTGTTCTTTTTATTACTTAGTAGTATTCTGTGTATGGATTACCACAGTTTAACTCTTCACCCATGTGGGTTGTTTCAAGTTTTTGGCTATTTGGAATAAAGCTACTATCAACATTTGTGTACATGTTTTTGTGTAAATGCTTTCATTTCTATGGGATGAAGAGTACAATTGCTGGGTTGTACAGTAAGTATTTGTTTGATTTGCAAGCCACTGCCGCACTTTTCCAGAGAGGCAGTTACCGTTTCACATTTCCAGGTGCAATGTATGAGTGATCCATTTTCTCCAAATCCTTGCCACCACCTGATGTTATCACTATTCAAAAAAAAACTTAGCTATTCTGGTAAGCTTGTACTGATATGTGCCTTTACCTAATGGCCAATGATGCTGAACATCTTTTGATATGGATATCTTAGTGAAATGTCCATGTCTTTGTCCCTAATTAGATTGTTTCTTATACAGTTGAGTTTTGAAAGCTCTTTATATATTTTAGTTACAAGTACTTTGTTGGAAATGTCTTGCAAATATTTTTTTTTCCAGTCTATCACTTATCTTTCCATCATCCTCTCAGGTCTTTCACGTAGTATACCTTTTTTTCTTTTTTAACTTTGATTAAGGTCAATTTGTCATTTTTTTCTGTTAAGAATCATGATTTGGTGTCAAGTGTAATATCTCTGCCTAGTTGTAGGTTCTGAAAATTTTATCCTGTGTTTTTCTTCTAAATATTTTATAGTTTTATATTGTGCATATAGCTCCATATTCCATTTTAAGTAAATTTTCGTACTTAGCGTAAGGTTAGATCAAGGCCTATGAATGTCCAGCTGCTCCAACACCATTTGCTGAAAGGCTGTTCCACTGAATTGTTTTTAAACCTTTGTCACCCATCAAAGGTGATTTAATATACTCACGAGAACAGTTTATTTTTACCCATTCCAATGCTCTTTTCTTTCTGAAGACCTCTGGATCCTATTTAATCTTCATTTTTAGCAGGCAGTCCTGCTGTTCAGGTGTAGTATGAGGACTGGGTGGATGTGTTGGTTTAGCCTTCCATTGGGCCCTGCCATCACCACTCTGGCAAAAGTAGAGCACAGACTGCCTCTCATTGCAGATGGGTGAGGTGGCAGTTCAGCTCCCCTTCTGGCCCTGCTGACATCCTCCTGGCAAAGGGGGGCACTGATTTGCACATCCTTTTTGCTTCCCAGTGGGACTGGAAGCTTACCTCCCCAATGGAACCTGATGACACAGGGGAGGTGACAAGGAAATGGAGTGCTGCCTAGGCCCGTGTCCTACCTCTTTGTTTCACCTTGTTGATACCCAGGTGGGAATGGAGGCTCAGATCCCTGCTGAACCCTGCTAACACCAGAGAGGGTATATTAGTTTCCAATGGAAACTATAACAAATTTCCACAAATTTAGTGGCTTAAAAAAACAAATTTTTTGTCTCATAACTCTGGAGGCCAGAAGTCTGAAAGCAGGGCCACACTCCTTCTGAAAGCTCTAGGGGAGAATCCTTTTTCACTTCTTCCAGTTTCTGGTGGCTCCAAGTGTTCCTGGGCTGTGGCTGTAAAACTCCAGTTTCTACCTCTGTCTTCACATGGCTTTCTCCTCTTCTCCATGTCTCTATCCTCTGTGTATCTCTTATAAGGACATTTGTTTTTGGATTTATGGCCACCAGGATAATTCAGGGTGATCTCATCTTGAGATCTTTAATTATCTTTGCAAAGACCCTTTTTCCAAATTAGGTCACATTCACAAGTTCCAGGGATGTGACATTTTTTTTGGTGGGTCACTGTTCCCACTACACCCTGATGGAGGGTGGGGATGGAGGCTTAGCATCCTGCTGGGCCTTGGTGACTCCAGGGGTGGGAGTAGGGGTGGGAGAGGGTAGTGAAGCTCCCTGGTCACTAGTCTTTCTTTGCACTACCTAGTTGCTATGGGTTGAATGTCCCTCTGCTTTTATGAATGGATTAATGTTACTATCACAGGAGTGGTTTTGTTATAAAAGTGAGGTCTCTCTTGCTCTTACCCTCATGCCATGTGATGCCCTCCACCATGTTATGATGTAGCAAGACGGCCCTCACCAGATGTCGGTACCAGGCTCTTGGACTTCTCAGTTTCCAGAATTGTGAACTAAATACACTTCTTTTCTTTATAATTATTCAACCTGTGGTATTCTGTTATAGCCACAGAACATGGACTAAGACATTGGTTAAGTCTCGTTGCTGCCAGGTAGGGGTGGAAGCTGTCTTTGTCACTGGACTTCACTCATACTACCTATATTACCTCCTGCTTCTGCTGAGTGGAAGACAGAAAATCAGCTCCCTGCTTGGTCAGTCTACATCACCTGGAAGGGCAATCAGTGCTGCCTACATCTGCCAGGTAGAAGATGGGAGATTAGCTCCCTGCTCAGCTTTGCAGACACCATAGGATAGGGGTGTGTCAGGGCACTCCCATCTGCTTCTGTGGGATGGGGGTGGGTAGGATGGAAAAGTATCTCCTTGCTCTGCCACACTGAAACCATGGGGGTGGCTTGTAGGTTGATGCTTGGCTGGTGTAGGGTGGGCATTACAAAAAAGGGTTTTTGTTCTGTTAGGTGCCTGGTCCTATGACTAGGAGGAGAAGGCTTTTCATGCATGCAGTTGTGTGTGTGTGTGTGTCTTTCCCACCTGGGATATGTGGGAGGCAATAAGGAAACCCAGAGAACTCACTGAATGTCATTCCTTAAGTCCCAACGTCCATAGATAGCTTCCTGCATTCTTTCCACCTATGCTTGAGTTTTCCTATGCTTGTTTGTTGTGTTATGTGCAGGGTCTTTAAGTTTTAAGAGGAAAGACTTGGGAGGAATGGGCTATTGCATCTTGGCCACATCAGAAATTGTTTGATGACTCATTCCATTTAAAATTCTAAATGTCATTAGTCATACATTTTAGTGGAATTCTTTTCAATTTTTATGTTCATTTTTCCTACAATTCTCAATTTAAGCAGTAAGTGAAAGAAAAACAATTTAAAGTATATTTTAACCTTTAGTTAATGCTGACCTCTGACTGTATCTGCTTTCTTATTGGTTCTTATACAGAGGATTTTACAGGGACAAAAGCAAAAGATGAAAATATGCTAATAACACTTGTTATTTAACATCATTCTTATGTGAGATTAAAAACTGTATTTAATGCCATATTCTTGTACAACTATGAGTTCTTATTTTTATGAACTATCTTCAGCAATGTGTACAAGAATACTGTTTAGAATAGTTTAACAGTATTATTTATGCATGTTGACTTAGAAGTAAACTGCAATAACTACTACACATGATTTTATAGCAGAATGGCCTCATTTCTTCTTTTGGTATCATGAATGACTATTATGACGAAATCCACGTCCTGATGGAGTTTTGTGTGCCTTTATTCCATCTTTTGCATTGAGGATGAAGTTTACTAAGTTGGAAGGCATGGTTTTTTCAATTATTGATGGGGACAATTTTCCTCTCATTTCTGTCTGGACAAACATCACTAGTTTGGAATATGCTGGGTTTCTGTAAGCAAAAGAAGAGTTAAAAAAAGATAAGAAATTTTTAGATTTACCTACTGAATTTACAGGTTTTTGGAGAGCAGGATTCTTATTCACCATTGACATACTTAAAAATTGTACTTAAAAATATTAAGTGGCTAGAATATTTCTTAAAACCTTCAGTTTTAGGCACCCTTTTCTTTTTGTCATTTTACTGACTTTTAAAAATTCTAACGGTAATGTATGCTTATTATGAAAATTTAAACAATATAAATTTTTCATAATTAAAGAAAAATTTCCCTCCCTTATTTCCCTTATCCTGTTTCCCAGAGATAATCACTGTATATAGTTTTAATTGTTATCTTTTCAGGTGACTGTCTATATAGATATGTGTATATATATATATACACACACACATATACGAAGACAGCATACATCTGTACATAAATGAGTATGTACCCCACATATATAAATAGAGTTTTATTTTTTTAATGGAGACATTTTTCTGCAACTAGTTTTATTTTTATCTTATGAACTTCCTTCTGTGTCTGTACATACAGATCTACTTAACTGTTTTTCATGGCTACAGACAGTATTTCTATTCTATTTAACAGTCCTTTTATTGACTATCATTTAGGTTGTTTCTCACTTTTGGCTACTGTAAGTAAAGCTGCAATAAAATATCTTTGTAATGTATCCATTTATGCTTTTTTTTTTTTTTTTTTTTTTTTGAGACACAGTCTTACTCTGTTGCCCAGGCTGGAGTGCAGGGACGTGATTATAGTTCACTGCAGCCTCGAACTCCTGAGTTTAAGCGATTCTCCAGCCTCAGCTTTCTGAGTGGCTGGGACTACAGGCATGCCCAATCATGCCTGGCTAGATTTAAAATTTTTTTTAAAGAGACAGGGTCTCATTATGTTGCCAAGGCTAGTCTCAAGCTCCCAGCCTCAAGCGATCCTCTCACTTCGGCCTCCCAAAATGCTGGGATTTCTGGTGTGACCCACCTCACCCAGCCCCATTTACACTTTTATAAATACTTAGAATTTCTAGGTCAAAGGTTTTTGCATTAAGCTTTTTGACATGTTAATTCCACACTGCACTCTAAGTGGTATTTTATATTCTAGCCCACCGATCTTCACACTGGGGTAGGAAAGGATGAATACTTTTAAGAGAATAAGTTTTCAAATCTCTAACTTCCATATGCATTTTTTCCTTAATCTGATGTGTAAATATGTCTCTGATGGAGATGTGGGCTTTTTCTTTCCTATCAACCTGTTCAAAATCGCCCTTCTCTTGCTTTATACAACAAAGGCATACCTGTTATCCACACTAAATAGTACTATGGTGCTTTACCTTGGTATGTAAAAATCTTTGAGATGCTAAAGGGAAAATCTGAGTAGAAGCAGATTGAGAAAAAAATCTTTTCCAAGTCATGCCATTTTTTTTTTTTTTTTTTTTTCAGTAAAACTGAAGGATCTAATTGAGCTGTCAGCTGACAGGTCTTTTTTTTTTCTTTTGAGACAGAGTCTTACGCTGTCACCCAGGCTGGAGTGCCGTGGCATGATCTGGGATCACTGCAAGCTCAGTCTCCTGGGTTCAAACGATTCTCCTGCTTCAGCCTCTCGAGTAGCTGGGACTACAGGCATGCGCCACCATGCCTGGCTAATTTTTGTATTTTTGGTAGAGACGGGGTTTCACCATGTTGACCAGGCTGATCTTGAACTCCTGACCTCAGGTGATCCACGCACCTCAGCCTCCCAAAGTGCTGGGATTATAAGTGAGGGCCACCATGCCTGGCCAGGTCTTTTTTTAATGATAACTATTTTTTGATGATCGGTCACTACATAATTTATGGTATATAATTCATAAATTTTTATATAAAAATAAAATAAAAAATATTTTTATATAATTCTGAAATTTATTTTTATTAATTATTATTAAATCCGAAATTATTTAATTGACAGTGCTGGAATTATACTCTCCATTTTAACACATTTATGTTAATAAATTTTCTTCAGTTTTCTTAAAATGAAAGCACCAGTAGACTTGATATTGAATGCTGTCTTATCAGTAATATACACCCACAGTTAAATGAAATGAGTGTAATGGTTAAAAGCGTGGACTCAGGAACTAGTCTGCCTTGGTTTGAAACTGAGCTTTGCTATTACCTATATATAACCTTCAGATAGTTAATCTCTTTGGGCTTCCACTTTCTTTCCTGCCCATTGGGCACAGTCATACTACCTACTTTATGGGGTTACTTTGAAGATCAAATGAGTCAATATATGCAAATTGTTTATAACAGTGCCTAGCACATAGTAAGTGCTATTTCAGTTTTGCTAATAATAAAATATGTGTTTCTAATAACAGTTTGCACTATGTTTAATATTTATATATAAACATATTTTTAATTTTGATCAATATGTAATGATAACTTAATCCAGAAGGCATATATATATTTGTAGTTGTTAGACAGTAGAGTTATGGGAAGTAAAACAAATTTTAAAACTTTAAACACATGTCATTTTTGCAAAGAATTAGGATGACTATGAAATAATTCAAACCATAAAATATATTCTATTAGAATAAAATTATATGAGGGGAAAAATAAAAATGTGAGTTCAAGGAGGAAAGGAATGATGTAAATTTTCTGACTGTTAAAAGTTGTATTTATTTTAAAGTGAATAATTTAATGGTGGGTTTCAAGTTATGGTATTTATAATCTACTGGATATGTTTATAAGGATGATATAACCATTTTTTTTAAAAGTCAATGTTTAGCACATGCTGGGAATTGTACTTTTCATCAATGTAATTTACTTTTCATCAATGTAATCCCTATGAAAAAATTTAATGTCAACTTAAAAATGTGCAAGGGAGAATATAGTTTTATAAAATTTTCAAGGAAGACGACCGTTCCAACAAATAGCGTGAGTGTCCATTTTCTTATACTTTTCTCCATGCAAGGTTTAGACTATTTTTACAGTGCCTCAAATGGCTAGATTGAGAACAGAGTAGTTCCCTCTTATCCTCTGTTTCACTTTCTGCAGTTTCATTTACCTAAGGTCAACCCATTCCAGAAATAAGAAAAATTCATAAGCCTTAAATTGCATATTGTTCTGAGTAGTGTGATGAAATCTTACATCATCCTGCTCTGTCCCACCCAGGATGTGAAATCATCCCTTTACCAGCGTATTTAGGCTGTATAGGCCACCCACCCATTAGTCACTTAGTAGCCTCCTTGATTATGAGATCAAAAAACCATGGTGTATACATAGGGTTTGGTACTATCCATGGGTTTAGACATTTACTTGGGGTCATGGAACATATCTCCATGGATAAATGGGAACTGCTGTCCTTACTAGTAGTTTCTATGGTCTTAAATCTTTCTTTGTGTTTACAATGGCTTTACACACATAAGAAAGCCTTTCTAATATTTACTAGAGTGCACTTCTGCATTGACAAGGTGCAAGAAGGGGACTTGGCCAGTGAAGCACGCTTTAAGGTGTAAAATTTTCCAACTATAGTCCGTGCCAGTGGTTGATTACCTTGCTGAATTGGTGTAATTACCCTTCATTTGTTTTGTTTTCTCCTGCTATGGAGAATAAAATCTTGGCCCTAGATTCAAAATTGACAAATGGGTAGAAAGACCACGCATTGTTATTATTATCTGTATCAACAATCCTGTACATTAACGTGAATAATTGTGAGGTTTTTTAGTTTTCCAATTCAGTAGAGGAAATGTTAAGGAATACAGGTCCAAAATTTAATTTCATTTGGGCTTCCTTCACATACATTTTTTTTCTTGTACTGAAACATTTATATCTAACCAATGCATCTGTTTTCATGTGCCAATATCTTTTACTCAATAAAAAATCATTTAGCAAACATTAAAACTTAAGGAACTTATGAAATGATATACATTGAATTAGAGTATATGCTTTTACAAAATATGTATATTTTATGCTGCCATTTTATCCCAAGGCCACCTTTAGGCAGTGACTCATCTCTGATTTCTTCAGCTTTTCTTTTATCTGAATGTACCTACTGGATCTCATTTTGCAGGTATCTGCTCTTAGTAAGTAGTCCATTGGGAAGAATTCATTCAAAGTAAAGCATTCATTACTGATAAATGTGTGTTATAATTCTAGGAAAGTTTATTTTTAATTCATAAAAGTTCCTTAATAATTTACAGAAATGACTCTAATGGAGAAATAGAAAATATCAAGGAAGCTTAACTGCTGGGAAATGTTTGTGTGTGTTTGATTGTTCTCAGAAACCTCAGATCATACTTTATAGGGAAGTATCCATTCTGATTATACTTAAAATGAAAATGATTATATGAAGTTATTTTAAAAATCATATTTAGGGGCAGTTTTTTTTTCCCCCCAACAGAATATGCTGGTACGTATTTCTACTGATGAGCCAGGAATCTTGAACTAAATCACAAGTTGAACTAAAAAACCTGTTAAAATAAATAAGTGCAAATAACACTTACTCTTTCATTGGTGAACATACAAAGCCACAAGGATGGTTATAACCACGGATATAATTTGAAGATGGAGGATATTCTGGAAAATCCACGCTTTTAGCTAAGAGATTTTAAAAAATTAAAATGAAACCTCTTTCATAAAGAGGAAAAATTATTTCCAGCAGCATATTTTAAAAAATATATAATATAGCATTTAAGTTGGTTAATAGCATTAACATTAGTTTTATATATGTGAATGTTTATTTGCACATCTGAAGCCAAAATTGAGAAAATACCAGTATCAGCACTATTGTCCTCTTAAATTTTTTCCTGCTAGTATTTCTAAAGATGCTGTCAACTTCTGTATACAAGAAAAATGGTTAAAAGTATCATTGAACTATTTTCTGAGATTTGAAGCAAAAGATGGCTCAAATCTCAGAAAATAGTTAATGCCTATAAATAACTTAAATCTCACTGGGTTTGAGTGAAGACCGTTAACTGGCTTTGGGTGAAAACTATTCTACTAGGGTCCTGGGTTCATAGATTTTTTTGTTAATCATGTTTTTTTTTTAAGTAAAATATTTGAAGTGGTTAGATGGTCTGTCAATAACGATATTTTAAAATGCTCCCTTCTGCAATTCCCTATAACTAACTTCAAACTCTAACTGAAAATCAGTAGAGTTTATTTTAGAATTATGCAACATAGTATCTGTATTCTATGTGAATGCAGAGGGGGTTGGTTTATGATTTAATTTATGATAATATATATATACTCTTTCTAAAAATATTTTAAAACATATATGTGTTTATTCTGTGCAACTGAATCCTGCTCTTATCAGAGAAGATGGATTTTCTGATATGATTTTAACATAAGCAAATCAATTCCATGGGAAATACAATGTAAAACACTAACTTGGAGACTAGAGTTGTTGAATAAATTTTCCATTTTTATGACTTATATCATTATCTTGACAGAGCCTATAATAGTACTGCCAGAAGTGATGTTATTATAAAAGATTTTTTCTCTGTTTGAAATATGGAAATTCTGCTTGTCTTCTTTAAAAAAAATCTGTTGTAGTCTACAAACAGGTATGGGTCTTTTATGAAGCATATGGTGTGGTAGTTAGCACTTATTTTGGAAAATCAGAAAGAACTGAGTTTTAATTCTGTGTTAGCTGCTTATTAGCTATGTAACTTAATTTCTTAACTGCTTAATTTCCATGAACTTCAGTTTCCTCACTAGTGAGATAATGCAAGCAAAATATTTAGCTTATAGCAAGGTACAGGGTAGGATAAAAAAAAGAAATGTTAAGAAAACTATGAGTACTGATCGAAAATTCATTCAATGGAAACTTGTAAAGCAAATTCAATAGTGATTTGTGCACCAAATCACTATCAACTAGAGGTTGATTACCTCTAGTTGTTGATTTTAATCTCTACTTCTTTTTTAGCTTCCCTCTGATCACTAATAATTATATAGAAATGGTCTGCTTTCAAAATGTGGAAAATAACAGATGTATGATCTGTTTAGACAGACTATTTTATGTTGTAGGCCATGAATACATTATATGTGCCCTCATTTCAAAAATGTGACAACTAAACATATATGAACATTATGAACATCAGCCCTTAGTGGCATGCTGAAGAAAGAGCTAACTGGGTTTGAATGAGTGCTACGACGCAGTCTGGACTCTGAAAAGTAGAGTACTAAAGATATCTCGAAGGAACTGAAATCTTGCTGGGAAATAATAATTAACAAAATGTAATTGTCCTTGGTCCCAAGTAGGAATAGTGAAATTAATTCAAATTATAGAGAAAAACGGGCTCTATGCCACTGTGCTACCAAAGTTCCTTCACCATCAGTTATCTTAAGTTATCTGAGTCCATAGATCCTCATGGTATGGAATGGTATGTTTTGATCAATAATGCAAGTTAGAAAATTACACATATGCATTTTACAGAGTGACACATTTGGGAGTGGGGATAGGTATATATCAAAACCTGCAGTTTCTAAAAGAAATAAAAGCACATTTATGTAAAGAGCCATCTAGTGGAAATTTCTTTAACAGTTTTATCAGTTACTGGATATGCTCATTATAAGCAATTCAAATATAAAATCATATCTAACAATTAATTTTGTTTCTTCGGATTTTAAAAACGTATACTTGAAGTTTTAGGCTACAAGTATCTATCTATATTCACTGCTACATGATATATGCTACAAAAGTCTAAGAGATGTTGTAAACATTGACCATTATATAAATGGCACCTTCGGAGTGTCACAGGCATATCTACATGATACGTGTACTTGTTGATCCTACTGAGTAAACTTAAAAAGGAAATAATTATAAATATAATTTATTTGAAGCTGTGAATAAAGGGAAAACATTTATTAATGGTTCATAGTAATTCCAAGATATGGGCAAAATGCTTCAACTTACAACTGATAATGTTCATATTTCCTTCGTAGCGCTTGATGTACACTAAGTCGATAAAGTCTCGAGGGGAAATGGAGCCCATGGCAAAACTTTGTGTAATGGTATGACATATGAATGTGTCCTGCAACAAATCAAACCATAAAGAAAACAACCATTATTTAATATCTATTCTTTGTATTGTTTCCCTCCCAAATTTTATTGCATATGATTGGCCTCAATTTGGAAAAAGCAGGGCTTTGAAATTTTAAGACCTCATCACCAAATCAGCTTGGATTTTGAGTGTTAAAGGAGCATTAAATCTATGAGTGTAGAAAATTCAAGAAGCAATCTTGAGATCATCTACTCTTTCCATTTTTAGATGGAGAAATTGAAGCCTAACAGATTAAATCACATTCACAACTAGAGATAAGTAAAGAAATAGAATCCAGGTTTCCTGATTCCCCATTTAGCACTATTTCTACTACTCCACATAGGTTAAGTAATATATTCTGAAAAATACATTGATTTAGCACCCTGTAGTGTAAGGTCTAAAATTAAAGACCAATGTTGGTCTTGAATGGCCTAACTACACATTCCTTTCCCTCTTCATTCCTGCAGATAAGATCCCCTAGCCAAACAATCCTCCTTCTTAACAGGACCAGCACGGTTACTATTTATCCCTGTTTAGTGGTCTCAGTTCCCTGCTGGCCCATGGAATCATTCAAACAAGACAATCACATTCTTCTGCAGGAACCGGGGCTCACTCTACCCTGTTGACACAAAAGCTGCCTCCCACAGCCCCTAGGTGTTCACTCTGTTCCTATGTTGCCCTGTGTCGCATAGTTTGTTCTCCCTTCTTGGTCTGTGACCAATGATTAATAAACTTCAATCTACTTCACTTGTCCATTGGTGGGTATTATGTGTTTGACCATCCCCATAACCCTAGAGTGGGACTCTCTCCCTCACCAATAGGTTGAAAAGGAGGCAGTTAAGACACATCCTTGAACAGGCATGGTGGCACATGCCTGTAATTCCAGCTACTTGGGAGGCTTAGGTAGGACGATCGCTTGAGCCCAGGAGTTTGAGGCTAGAGTGAGCTTTGATCACAACACTGCACACTAGCCTGGGCAACAGAGTGAGACCCTATCTCTAAAAAGAATAATAATTATAAAAATAAATAAGTAAATAAAACATACTCCTGGAGATGAATACTATAAATCTTTACAGAAAGGGAAAATAATTCTAATTTAGAATTAGGAGACCAGGTACAAGTCCTCGTTCTACCACATATTGGCTGCATTATCCTTGAGTAAGTCACAAAATCTCTCTGAATTTGTTTTCAGGTTTTTGGATGTCACGTCTAGTATTCTTTCTATTATACCATATGGCTTGAAACAACAATAGAAATACCTGAAGTGCTAATCGAACTGTATGATTAGTATTATAAAACGATGAATGAAATAGTTAAATTTTTGGATTTTCATTTGTGATGCCCAGTGGTTCTCAAATTGAATGTTCAAATCCCAAGAAGATCATGGACATGTGTTTTTTGTGGATAGGCACTTCCTCTCTACAAAATAAAACTGATTTACAAGATGAAGATCAAGGACTTTCTACAAGATGAAACAGATTTACCTTCATGGGCTTTTCTACAACTCTTCTCTCCTAGATTTTAAGATGAGTTTAATAAAAGTAGGTAAAATTACGGAGTTCTAAATAAATGATAATTTGATGGCACATATGTGGGACATTTATTTATTTATTTATTTATTTACTTATTTTTGTTTGATAAATGAAATACAGGTTGGAGACTTAAAGAACTAAAGGCCTAGTGATCTGAAATTTTACAAATGCAATCATTTGTGAAAATCATAAAAGTTAGTTTCATTCCATCATTCACGTTTCTCATCTCTTTTAAATAAAGCTACTATTAGCCAAAAATCTAGGACTCATTTTTAAAAACAGCTTATTGAGTATAATATACATACCATGAATTCACCTATTTTAAGTATATAGTTCAATTAATTTCCCAAAGGAAATTTATTTGTGCAATTTCACTACAATCCAGTTTTAGAAGACTTATCTGATTCCTCTCTGCCTGCATCAGTAAGCCCTATTGACTCTATCTCTGTATCTTTGGGTTTCCTGACTTACCTCCCTCTCCATGTCTACAACCCTAGCACAAGCCACCATGATGTCTCATTTAGATTACTCTCATAGCCTCATAACTGTTTGTGCTGATTTCATTCTTACCCCCTTATAATCCATGCTTCTTTCAGCAGCTGTCTCTTAAAAGTGTAAATCAAATCAGCCACTTCCCTGCTTAAAACACACCAATGGCTTCCCACTGAATGTATAGCAAAACTTCTCCCCCTGACCTTTGATACTTTTGCAGAATCTGATCCCAGCCTAACCTCTCACCTCTTAACCACTTTTCTCCTTGCTTTTTATGGTCAAACCCCACAGATCTTGTTTATCTTCTGATTAAACACTGCCAAACTCTTTCCACCTCAAGACCTGTGTATTTGCTTTCCCCTGTGTCTGCTACTCTCTCCCAGATCTTTCCATGTCTATCTCCCCAACCTCCATTTTGTTACCCAGGTTTCTAATGTCTCTCACTCAGACTGACCTTTCCCAATTCTCTAGCTATAAATTAATTTCTCCTGGTTATTGCCTATACTGTTATCATTCATAACACTTATTCTTACCAATCCTAGCCTTCATTATCCGATAAGTTTTAACAAATTGTTTATTTGTTTATTATATCTCTTCTGGTGAGAATATAAGTTTTGGGCAAGCAGGGACAATTTCTGTCTTCTTCTCTTATGTGTCCCTAGTGAACTGAAACAGTATGGAGTTCACAGTAGCTGCTCAAAAAGTATTTGTGAAGTGTGAAGTATTTGTGAAGTATTTGTGAAGTGAATTAATTAGTCAAAAGAACATAAACATCAGTCTGGGAGTGTTTGGAACAAAGTCAGGATTCCCCCAGAAACAGGTTTCCTAAGATGGAGAAAACACAAACAACTGGAATGGACATATTACTGGAAGAGAGGAGAATCATCCCTCCATCCCTTCAGGTGGTTATTTATTTATTTGTTTGTTTTTGAGACGGGGTTTCACTCTTGTTGCCCAAGTTGGAGTGTGATGGTATGATCTTGGCTCACTGCAATCTCCGCCTCCTGGGTTCAAGCGATTCTCCTGCCTCAGCCTCCCAAATAGCTGGGGTCACAGGCACATGTCACCACGCCTGGCTAATTTTTTGTATTTTTAGTAGAATCAGGGTCACCATGTTAGCTAGGCTGGTCTCGAACTCCTGACCTCAGGTGATCCATCCGCCTCTGCCTCCCAAATTTCTGGGATTACAGGTGTTAGCCACTGCACTCAGTCCCAGGTGGTTATTTTTACAATGGCCTTAATAAATAAATGAGATATCTATAGTGTGCTGGACCAAAGTTTGGAATCACTTATCCCACTTCTTCATCCTTGTTTCTACTTGTGATGTGGTTTGAATTTGTGTCCCTGCCCAAATATCATGTTGAATTAGAGGATCAGCCTGGTGGGAGGTAATTGGATCATGGGGCAGACTTCCCAATTGCTGTTCTCATAGGTGAGTGAGTTCTCATGAGATCTGATGGTTTAAAAGTGTGTGGTACCTCCCCCTTAGTTCCCTCTCTCTCCTATTCTGCCATGGTAACAGAAGAGTTACCTGTTACCTCATGCCAAGATGTTCCCCTTCACCTTCTGCCATGATTGTAAATTTCCTGAGGCCTCCCAGTCATGCATGCTTCCTGTGAAGCCTATAGAACTGTGGGTCAGCCAGGCACGGTGGCTCATGCCTGTAATCCCAGCACTTTGGGAGGCCGAGGCGGGTGGATCACGAGGTCAGGAGATCAAGACCATCCTGGCTAGCATGATTAAACTCCATCTCTACTAAAAATAAAAAAAAAACAAAAAATAAAAAATAAAAAATTAGCCAGGTGTGGTGGCAGGTGCCTGTAGTCCCAGCTACTCGGGTGGCTGAGGCAGGAGAATGGCGTGAACCTGGGAGGTGGAGCTTGCAGTGCGACAAGACCCCCCCACTACACTCCAGCCTGGGCAACTGAGCAAGACTCCATCTCAGGAAAAAAAAAAAAAAAAAAAAAAAAAAAAGAACTGAATCGAGTAAACCTTTTCTCTTCATAAATTACCCAGTCTCAGGTAGTTATTTATAGCAGTGTGAAAACAGACTAATGCAACCTCTTTTTGCCATGTATCATTATTCCTGTCATTTCATTCATTTTTTCTCCTCCTGAGCTTTCATTCTGCCCTTACCTCATACTGATCCTTTCTTCTGTCTCTCTCTAAACCATACTTTCCTCTCACAGTCTCTCTTCTCTCAACTTTCTACTCCAGTTACCTTTATTTTCTCTTTGTTTTTATTCTCTCTCTTTGTATGTATTTAACTGAGATAATATATTTGAAAGTGTTCCTAAACTTCAACCTTCTATATAATGCTATTTCCTTACTTTATCTTTACTGATGTGGTTTGGTTCTGTGTCCCCAACCAAATCCCACCTTGAATTGTAATCCCCACATGTCAAGGGTGGGACCAGGTGGAGATAATTGGATCATAGGGGTGGTTTCCCTCCTGCTGCTCGGTGAAGAAGGTGCCTGCTTCTCCTTTGCCTTCTGTCATGATTATAAGTTTCCTGAGGCCTCCCCAGCAATGTGGAACTGTGTGTCAATTAAACATACTTCCTTTATAAATTACCCGGTCTTGGGTATTTCTTCATAGCAGTATGAGAACGGACTCATACACCTACTCTTAAACATTATATGCCGTTTGTTCTTTAAGTCCTTATGGTATGTGTCTGCATTGTTCCTGTTCTCATGATAGTGAGTGAGTTCTCATGAGGTCTGATGGTTTAAAAATGTGTGGCATCTCCCCCTTTGCTCCCTCTCTCTCCTGCTCTGTCATGGTAAAATGTGCTTACTTTCCCTTCACCTTCTGCTATGATTGTAAGTATCCTAATATCTAATGTAATATGACTAAAATAAATCTACAGACTTCCCATCAATAAGACATACTTAACTTTTGTTTTCCATGTAATGGAGGTGAATCCCTGAGTTCTGTTCCCTTTATAACAAACGGCACACATTGCAAGAGAGGTTACCAGATTCAAAATGTAATAATGCATTTGCAAGCAGAATAAAGCTAATTGGAATTAAACTCTTGGAAAGTAGGGAAGTTTTAAAGCTTTTCTAAAGACTTCAAGTCAATTTGAAACTATAAAATACTGTGTCTACATAACATAGTTTTAATAAACTCAACTCACTAAGGTATAAACTAAAAATATATTAATGTTCTAAAAGTCCAGTATTAAACAACAAATTACCGAATCAATCCTGTGTACCATATCGTATACTTGCAATGATTTATCCCATGTAACTCTCTCTCCAGTTTGGTAGAGGAAATCAGATAGTTTAGCTGCTGATTCTGGAATTATCCCTTCAACACGATATCTACAGTTAACAAAATCAAGAAAATCCAAAGCTTACAAAGTTTAGTCTAAGCTGAAAATGTAATACTTTCAAAGCATAAAGGTAGGCTAATTTAGCAAAAAGCAATGAAGAAAACTTAAAGGTACTATCAGCAATTCAATACATTAATATTCAATTGGAAGTAGCAAGGTTTATTTAAATATGCATTGCAATAAATACCTTATTTCAAAATTCATCTTTCTATAAGTAGGCTATTAGTTATTAAGTTTTTGGGGAGTCAAAAGTTACAATGGGATTTTTGCACGGTGGGTTGGAACCCCTAACTCCCACATTGTTCAAGGGTCAACTGTAATGCTTTATTGAAACACAGCCACACTCATTCATTTATATGTTAACTCTGGGTGCTCTTGTGCTATAATGACAGAGATGAGTAGTTGCAAGAGACCATATGAGTTGCAAAGCCTAAAGTATTTACTCTCTGTCCCTCTACTGAAAAACTTTGCCAACCCCTGATTTAGGGTGTCCACTCAGTGGCTAATCTTTCATTTTCCAGTCACTTTGTAAAGGTAAGAAAAGTACAAATTACAGTTATATTATATGGCTGTAAGGCAGAAATTATTTTTTCGTTCATGAACAATTAGAAGGTTAATAGCTGCATAAAACTAATAGCAACAAAGAAACAAAGAGGACCAGCCAGAAGTTTAACAGAGAGAAGCAGAGAACATACAGCTAAAGTGACCCACTAAGAGCACACTCATCCCTGGGGTCTGGATGGCTGTGTTTATGCACAGGCTCTCCTACTCAGTACCAATCAGGGCAAGATGTAATGCAGACTTGTAAGTATTCCCCAAGCCACATTCAGATTGATTAGCAAAGAGCTGATGCCTTACTGACTCAGGCACATAAGTATAGTACAACCTTTGATGCATCACTGACGGGAAAATAATCTATTCTATCCACTGTAAAATAAAATATACTCATAGCTGGGTCTAGAAGACTGTGTATGCTGAAGGCTGCACCGTCTGAGGAGAGACTGGTGACAAAACTTCCAAGCTACCAGTCTCTGGCTAAATCCAGAGCAAAACCACAAAACTCCCTGAATTACAAAAGCAGTCTTCAATCCACATACATATTTGACAGTAGAAGGTAAAAATTACCACAAAATGGCTTATGTTGACCAAGGAGTGATCCATGGGAAGCCAGGCTAAAAGATAACTGCAAGTAAAAAGTCAGAGCAGAGATATCAGAGGCTACAGGCTGTGGCGGAAACAGACTTCACAGAATTAGTCCAGTTAAATCACCAAACAGATAAACAAATGATCAAACTCATAACCACAAACCCAGGATGGGTGGATGGAGTCAGTATCCAGAGTTGCTACAATATTTTACCTAAAACGTTGTTTTCAACAAAAAACTGTGAGTCATGCAAAAAAACATGAAAAGTGTGACCTATACTTAGGAAAAACAGCAAGCAGGAGAAACTACATTTTAGGGGGCCTTATCACATAAAGATGTTGGAATTATCATGTAAAAAATTTGGATGGGTGCGGTGGCTCACTCCTGTAATTCCAGCACTTTGGGAGGTCGAGGCAGGTGGATCATGAGGTCAAGAGATCGAGAGCATCCTGGCCAATATGGTGAAACCCTGTCTCTACTAAAAATACAAAAATTAGCTGGGTGTTCTGTCATGTTCCTGTAGTCTCAGCTACTTGAGAGGCTGAGGCAGAAGAATCGCTTGAACCCGGGAAGCAGAGGTTGCAGTGAGCTGAGATCACGCCACTGCACTCCAGCCTGGCGACAGAGTGAGACTCCATCTAAAAAAAAAACAAAAAACTAAAAGCAATGATTGTAAATCTGTTCAAAGAACTAAGGAAAGCAGGCAAAAAAAAAAAAAAAAAAAAAAAAAAAAGAGAAAAATAAACAGTGCCTCAGAGAAATGTGATATGCATTAAACACATCAACATACACATTTTGAGAGTACCAGAAGGAAAGAACAGACACTGCACTCCAGCCTGGATAAGAGAGTGAGACCCGTCTCTAAAAACAAGAGAGGATAGAGAAAAAGAAAAATATGCACAAAAATATAGAAATAAAATAATAACTAAAATTTCTACAAATTTGTAGGAAAACACTACATTCAAGAAGTTCATTGAATTCTAAGTAGTACAGGTGGAAAAACATCCACCTCCAGATATATCATAGTCAAAAACCTGAACGTGAAAATAAAAATAAAGCCTTGAAAGCAGTTAAAAAAAAAAAAGGCATTACATAGAAGGGAACCATAATAAGACTGACAGCTGGCATGTCATTAGAAACAATGGAGGCCAGAAGGAAGTAAATGACATTTAAAGAGTTGAAGAAAAAAAGCTACCAAAAAAGAATTATATATCCAGCCAAGTTATCTTTCAAAAATAAAGGTTAAACAAAGACATTCTGAGAGAAAGAAAAACTGAGAGAATTTATTGGTAGTAGTCCTGCCTTACAAAAAATACTAAAGGGAAGTTTTTCAGGCGAAAGGAAGAGACACAAAATAGTAATTCAAATCCTTACAAATAAAGAGTTACAGTAACAATAGTGTGTAACTAATGTTACAAGACAGTATAATTAAATATTTCTTCCCCTTTCTTCTATTAACTGATTAAAGACAATTTCATAAAACAATATCGATAACATTTTATTGGGCTTATAACATATAGATATAATTAACAATAAACACAACAGAGGGGGATGGAAATAAAGCTATATTTGAATAAAAAAATAACAGCAGATAGTAAGTCAAATCCATAGAAACAAATGAAGAGAACCAGAAATGGTAAATAAGAAAGAACATATTTCTACAGCTATATTCCTATATAGATGTATTCTTACAGATATATATGTGTATTTAGAAGGGTAAGATAGAAATATCTTTAAGGATGTTTGTATTCTCCTATTAACTTCTTTAAAATATAATATATAAAGCAATAATTATAACAATATGGTATTTGTAACATATGTAGACATAATATGTACAACAAAAAACAGTACAAAATGTTGGGGAAGGGGCTGGAACTATATAGAAGTAAAGCTTTTATATCTTAGTGGAATTAAGTTTGTATACATCTGCAGTAGATTCTGATGAGTTAAAATATATATTGTAGCTCCTAGAGTTATTACTGAGAAAATAACCAAAAAATGTAGTTCAAAAAATTATTAAAGGAATTAAAGATGTTACACTTGACAAAGCCTACTTAATACAAAAGATAGTAAAAGAGCAGAGGAACAAAATAGTCATGAGACATACAGAAAACAAAATAAATTTTTGAAATACAGGAAAAATGACAGACATAAATACAACCACATAACAATAACATTAGGTGTGACAGGATTAAACAAGCCACTCAGAAGGTAGAGATTGTCGACAGTATTTCTTTTAACCCCAAACAAGTTCCAACTATATGCTTGCTGTCTACAAAAGATACTCTTTAAATTCAAAGATACATATAGGTGAATGTAAAAGGTCTTAAAAAGATACACCATGCAAATGGAACCATAGTGAGCTGAGGTGACTCTACTGGTATCAGATGAAGTAGACTTTAAGATAAAAACTATTAGCAGAGATAAAGAAAGATATATTATAATGATAAAAGGGTTAACCGGTTCGGAAGATGTAATAATTATAAACATATATTCATCTAATGATAGAGCCCAAATACATAAAGAGAAAATGGACATATCTCAAGGGAGAAATAGATAATTTCACAATAATAATTAGAGACCTCAATAGGTCATTTTCTTTTTTCTTTTTTGAGATGGAGTCTCCCTCCGTCACCCAGGCTGGAATGCAGGGGCGCAATATCGGCTCACTGCAGGCTCCCCCTCCCAGGTTCAAGCCATTCTCCTGCCTCAGCCTCCCAAGTAGCTGGGACTACAGGCGCCCACCACCACACCCGGCTAATTTTTTGTGTTTTTAGTAGAGACGGATTTCACCGTGTTAGCCAGGATGGTCTCGATCTCGGGACCTCATGATCTGCCCACCTCGGCCTCCCAAAGTGCTGGGATTACAGGCGTGAGCCACTGCGCCAGGCCCAGGTCATGTTCAATAGTGAACGAAACAATCAGAAGAAAATCAGCAAGAATATCGAAGACTTGAACAACACTAGATCTAAGAGACACCTATGGAATACTCCTAAAAATAGCGGAATACATATTCTTCTCAAGTGCATCTGGTACATTCTCCAAGAGAGACCATCATTCAGGCAATGAAACAAGTCTCAAATTCAAGGATTGAAATTTTACACAGTATTTTTTTCCATCACAGTGGAATTAAATTTTAACAACAGAAATTTGGGAAATTCACAAATATGCAGAAATTAAACAAAACATTCTTAAATAACCAGTAAGTCAAAGAAGAAAAATTAAGTCAAAGAAAAATTAGGGAATAATTTGAGATAAATAAAAATGAAAACCCAGCATGCCAAAACTTACAGGATGCTGCAAAAGCAGTACTTACAGGGAAATTTATAGCTGTAAATGTCTATTTTTTTTTTTTTTAAGTTCTGAAATCAATAACCTAGCCTTTAATTTTAGGAAACTAGAAAAAGAAGAGCAACCTAAACCCAAAGCTAGCAGAAGGCAGGAAATAATAAGGATTACAGTAGAAAGTACTGAAATTGAGAATAGAAAAATAAGAAAATCAACAAAAACACAAGTTGTATCTCTGAAAAAGATAAACAGAATTGATAAATGTTTAGCTAGATGGACTAAGCAAAAAAAGAGAATAGACTCAACTAAAATAAAGACTGAAAGTGAGGACTACTGACCCTATACAAACAAAAAGGGTTGTAAGAGAATAATGATGTGTCAACAAATTAGATAGCTTAGATGAAAGGGACAACATCCTAGAAAAGCACAAATTACTGAAACTAAGAAGCAATAGAACATCTTAATTATCTATAACAAGACAGAGATTGAATTAGTAATCCAAATAATCCCCATAAAAAGAGCCCATGCTCAGATGGCTTCACCGATGAATCTGATCA